TATTCTAAATTCCAGATTTATTTTGGTAACGATTTCTCTTCTCTTAATCTTAGTTGTTTATTGTATTCCTTTAATCATGTCTTATTCTATTGCTTTGATTAGGTTAGTTTTTATTATGTGTGAGTAGTTTTATTTCTAGGGTTTGTGGGGATCCATAAATAATATGAAGGGGTAATTTATTGTTGTTGATTGTCAATGCTAGATTAATTTCCTATTGATTGATTTAATGCTCTATGACTTGATTAGGCCTGATCTTTTATGCATGAGTTTGACAATATCGATTCGAGATTCGACAGATGAGAACTGATGTTTAGGTCTAGTTTCAATAGGCAGGTTAATTTATAAATGGTTAAGTCGAGATTCGAAAGATGAGATTTATTACCGGTAAATTAATTGTGTGATTGTAATACGTAGCGAAAGCCCTTTATGATCTGATTAATGTATGCATTGATGATTGATTATTATGTTTTACCTTAAATATTATTTATTTGTGATTCTATGCCCTAGATCCTTTTATTCATTGTTTTCTCCCTATTCTTAATCTTCGTAGTTTAGTTTCATATTCAAATTTATATATTGGTTACTTCATAATCTATATTATATTAGTTAATTAGGAATAGAAAGACTCGTTTCTTTGTGGATTCGACCTTATTAATTCCCTATCTACAGTAGTTAGAGAATTTAGGAATTACTTTTGATTTGGGGATACGACTTTACCCTGTCAAAACTTGGCGCCGTTGCCGGGGAAACAGTTTTATTTTTGTTTCTCATTATTTTTGTAGTCTAGGTTATTTCCTTTTGTCTTAGAGAATGTTAGTTCTTTGAGGCAAGTCTCATATTTGCTTTTAGTTTTTTGTTTATGCCCAGGTGTTCCAGATCAAGGTACATCCCATTCGATCTTGAGATCGAACGATCCTTCCATAGACAGAAAAACCTTTACAAGCAAATTCTGGCGGACTCTGGTGATAATAATAATCACCGCGATCCTCCAACTGGTTCTAGCGATTCAGAGGTATCATTAGATCCGGAATCAGAGATGACAGCTCCAAAAAAGCTTAGTGATTACTCACAACCAAAGCTTACAGATTTTCCACATCTCACTCCCACTCCGGTTCTTGATGGGGTACAATTTGAGATTAAACCCCAATTTATAACGATGATAGAGAGGAAGCAATTTAGTGGAGCCAAGGGTGAAGACCCAAATCTTCACATTGCATATCATTGTCAATATTGTAATACCATCAGGCAAGCCGGGGTCACACAAGACCAAATCAGGGAGATTCTCTTTCCTTTCTCTTTAACTAGAAAAGATAAATTGTGGTTTAATGGTTTAAATAGAATTGCACTTGGTATAACTGACTGGGAAACTCTGGTTTTGAATTTTTATAAAAATTATTATCCTGCAGAGAGAACAGCCGTACTACGGAGTGCAATTCAGAACTTTGCCCAAGAAGCCGATGAAACTTTATATGAGGCTTGGGAGAGGTTCAAGGACTTACAAAGAGAATGCCCCCATCATAATTTAGCACAATGGCAGTTAATTCAAGCCTTTTACAATGGCATTGGAAATTCATCTAGAATAATTTTAGATTCTGCAGCTAGTGGGAGATTTATGAATCTTAATGTTGATGATGCAGGTCAGGTTATTGAAGATATGGCGATACATAATTCCCAATATAGGAATCCTAGAGGATTTGCTAACAAGGGGAAGCATAGTGTTGACTCTGTATCCTTTTTGCAAGCTTAATTGACCTCTATCTGCCAAAAATTAGATAATCTTAGCACTGCTAATGTAGCTAATGTTTATGCAATTAATAATAATACTAATGAGGCTTTCTGTGAAAATTGTGGAATTATAGGTCATTGGGAACAAGATTGCATGAGTTCCGTGGAGCAAGTTAATGCCTTTCAAGCTTGTAGGCAGAATAACCCATACTCCAACACCTACAATCCTGGGTATCGTAACCATCCATACCTTTCCTACCGGAGTACTAATGTTCAAAATCCACCACCACAAGAACCGCAGGCGTCACAGCAACAGCAGCAGAAATATTACCATCCCAATGCTAGCTAGAAGAACCAACCACAACAACCCTCCTCATCTTCCGACCCCGCTTTGGTAGAAATTAGAACGATGCTGGTTAATATGCAGAAGCACATGGAGAGTAGAGATGCGCAAATTGATTCAATTCTAGCATATAATAAAATTGTAGATAATCAAATTGCGCAACTTTCCGCTACTCTACAAGCCCGCCAACAGGGAGCTCTGCTGGCACAGCCGATCAGGCCTACGGATCAAGCCTATGTAATTACTCTAAGGAGTGGTTCAAACTATGAAGGGCCCCCTATGCCCAGAGTTGATGAACCTGTTTTATTAAATAATGCTAGTCTTGATTCTATTAAACCAGACAATGTAGCTAATAGCCCTGCAGGGCTAAAGCATAGTACTAACATATCTAATTCTACATTGCATGGTACGACTCTAGAGAAGGTGGCCACTCTAGATAAGAGAAATAATGCTCCAAAGGAAGTTATCAAACTTCCATTCACCAATCGTCACTTGAAGACAAACTTGGATAAGCAGTTTGGTAAGTTCCTGGAGATGGTAAAAGATTTGAAGGTAACAGTTCCCTTCACTGAATTAATCACACAAATTCCTTCATATGCAAAATTTATGAAAGAAATATTGACAAGAAAAAGGTCTATTAGTGAGGTAGAGACAGTAGCTTTCACTGCAGAGTGTAGTGCCGTACTTCAAAATAAATCTCCACCTAAATTAAAAGATCCGGGTAGCTTTTCTATCCCTTGTCATATAGGCAATCTAATGATTGATAATGCATTGTGTGATTTGGGTGCTAGCTTTAGTGTTATGCCATTATCAGTGTGTTCCAAGTTGAATATGGGTAAATTAAAAGCTACTAATATTACTCTATAAATGGCCGACCGTTCTTTCAAATACCCCTTAGGTATCTTAGAGGATGTCCCCATTAGAGTAAGTAAATTTTATATACTTGTTGATTTTATTGTTCTTGATATGGCTGAGGATATGCAAACCCCGATTATTTTGGGTAGACCATTCCTTAACACTGCAGGAGCAATTATAGATGTGAGAAGTGGTAAATTAACACTATCAGTAGTGGACGATAAAATTATTTTAATCTCAATAATACCCCTAAAAGCCCCATGACAGAGGAAAAGTGTTTTAGTGTTAATGTGGTTCATAATTATTCTAACAAGCCCCAATCTCTTGTAAAAGATCCCTTAGAGGCGGTATCTTGTGTTGCATCCCTTTCAGATGAGATAGACAAATGGCAGAAGAAAGTTGATGCAATAGAAAGAGCCCTCTACACTGTTGGTCTTGGTTTTGAGGACAAAAAGGTGGAATCAATCAAGCAAGTTGTGCAATTTGAGCCTACGGTAAGTGTTCCGCCAGATCGAGTTGCAAGTGTTAAATGCAATGACAATTTGAAGCAACCCTCGATCAAAGAAAGATCTTTAGTGCGTAGCATTGAAGAGCCCCCAATCCAAGTCAAGGAGGATCCACCAGATAAGGCGAATTGGCGTCCCACACGCTATGTCAGGAAGCCGCGTCGTAGCCTAAACAACGCTCGACCGGGTGAGAAACCACCCGACAAAGCGTTAGGCCAAGGGTCCTAGTTCCTGTACTTGGTAAGAAGGTCGTGCGGGACCTAGATAAACCAGCGCTTTGCGGGAGGCAACCCGTATTTTTAATGCTTTTTAGACTAGTTTTTCTTTCTTTTTTCTTATGAGAGGAGAGATGAGGGAATTTAATGAGTTTTATGAGTTTTTGTACAGTTTTGAAGGAAAAGAGTTAGCAAAAAATTGAAGAAAAGAAGAAAGCAAATAAAATCGTCAATTAGCCTCGGGCCCGATCGGGCGAAGTTCGCCCGACCGGGCGCAAGAGCTAGGTTTAAAAATCGAGTATTTTCGCCCGATCGGGCGATGGGCGCCCGACTAGGCGCGAAACTCGTTGTATAAGGACATATTTGTCCGCCCGATTGGGCGAATCTCGCCCGACCAGGCGTGAGAAGAGGCGAAAATTTGAGCGTAAGATCGCCCGACTGGGCGAAGGGCGCCCGACCGGGCGCGAGAGTTGAAGCAAAACAAGCATTTAGATCGCCTGACCGGGCGAATGCCGCCCGACCGGGGGCGAGAGCATGGAAGATATTGAAAATCAGATCGCCCGACTGGGCGCGACGCACCTGACCCCCTTTCTTCTTCTTCTTTATTCGGTTTTTCTCATTTCATTCTTTTTCCTCCATAACTTTCTCTCTCTAAAACTCAAATTCTCTCTACCTTCTCTCTAAGATTCTCTCTTCATTTCTCACCCAAATCTAAAACTTTTTACATATTATTAATCCCCTCTTCATCCTCTACATTTCTATATCAAAATTTTCGAATTCCATTCAAATTAATTTACATACCCATTTTTACCATGGCTTCAAAGAGGGCTCGGTCTATTTTCGGTAGGAGTTCTAGCTCAAGGGAGGAGTATGACCTGGATTTACAACCCCCATAATGGCCGACGATCCGCATTGCTACCCAAGAGCAAAAGGAGCGGCTAAAACACCTAGTCGGCACTACTACAAAAATAGCATAAGAAACCGTACAAAACATGCCAAAGAAACCAGAGAAGTTATGGTGCCTAGGTAGTAGGTCTCTTAGCCATTTATTAGATTAATCAAGGAAACCATTTATCACATATAACTGGTTTCTTGGTTAGATTTGAAATCTGATAATTGTTGAGGGAAAGGAACCATATATTTTAGATATTCGGTTTCTTAGATGTAGTTAAGGCACCGTATATAAATAAAATGTGGTCTCTTAGATTTATATAAGAAACCAACAATGTTGAAAATCCGGTTTCTTAGGTTCTTTGTTTTCATTAACGTCATAATCTAAGAAACCCTAATATTAATACATCAAATTAAGTTTTCATTTATATTTTTTTTATTAAAATATGTATTACGTATTAATACTGTACTATATGTTCGTTGGGGTGAAGCTATCCAAATTGATAACAAATAAAATTGCTTCAACCTACTATATATATGTACCTGTATACCTGTAGTATTTAATATTAAATAACCACAACAATATCAAATTGGGCTGAATAATTTAATACTTCACTAAATATATTTAATTACACACTGTACATTATGTACATTATAAGCCAATAATTCACTAAGCATCACTATCCATTTTCTAATAAAAAAATAAAAATAAAACAAAATCTAAAATTCTCCGAAGTCTAAACTTTAATCATTGGCCTCCATAAGAAAAAATCCTTGTATCCCAAAATATATATACGATGTTTAAAAATGTGCAATAATCATTCATGATCATCAGCCATACCATCATCACTGACTTCTTTTTGCTTAAAAACATATGTAACCAAAGTGTCTCGTATCTCGTCTATCATTTCTTGATGATAAGTAGCGGGAGCTTGGGGAAAGTACTGCAACAGAAATTATATATATATTAGAACATAAAGTAAATTTTATTAAGTAGATGAGATGTAATATAGAATTTAATCACCCAAGAAAACCCAAACGATTCATAAGCATAATAGCACACATAATTCACATTGTCACAATCTGAAAATTAAACATTCTATGTGTGTAAGTGTGCTTTCTCCAGCTTGATTGCTTGAACATAGTATAGCATAACAGAGTTCAATCGGGGGCTATAAACCTGAAATGTTTCATCTTGTATGCTTAAGTGTAGGGGGGACAAGGCTCAAGAGTACTATAAAATGCACATGATCTACAAGCTACAATTCAATTATGCGAAGATTCTTGATCCATTGTTTATACATCAAGAACAACAATGCAACAAAACAAAAACCAACCGATTTTAAAATCATGCCACTATCAATTAATAAATTCTCATAGAAACAACCATCTAACATCTACACCTTCCTACCACATTCGATCATACTCAAAAGAAAACGAAAGTTCAAATAACACTACGTACAAACAAAACCATGCTTCAACAATCAACAACATGAATTAATAGTAATATTAATTTCAATCCTTCAACAACCAACACATTTGGAATTTTTATAGAATTATAGCAATGTGGAAACCAAAACAACAAAATTCACACTTACACTAAACAAACTGAATAAAAAGTGAGGGGAAAAATATCAAAAAAGGGTGGGAGACATACTACATTTTAATGCAGAGAGAAATTTAACCCGTCAATTATGTTTGCGTATAATTGGTAAAAGTATTGTATTTTATAAAATTAAAGTTACCTTTTCTGGAACTACTTGTTGTCTCCTTGTTATTATCTCTTGCATGTAGCGACATACATAATATCCACAATCTTTGGTGTCTTGATATTGACGTGGACACTGTTTCATCATTCAATATAGATCATTTGTTCAAATATGTAAATCATAATGAAACAAAAAATTAAAGAAGTGTATCACATACTTGTGGTTTAAGCCACAAAACTTCTGGTTTTTTTTTCATTTTCTTGATATCCTTTCGATGAATAACACTAAAGCTCACCATTCCGCTACAAAATTTTCATAAAAAATTAAATGGCTATTGATTATAATTATAAAATGTATTTTAATCAAATAATGACATGCACATACGCATTAATGGTCTGTCGAGCAAATTCAGGAATTTTATTTTCTGCTCCGGCTGGATCAAGCCAGAATACAGCTCCACGCCACGGACTTATGACAGCTAACCTCCAATGCCGAATACATAAAATATACATTAGCATATCCAATGATGTACAAAGAAATATATATATATATATATATATATATATATATATATATATATATATATATATATATATATATATATATATATATATATATATATATATATATATATATATATATATATATATATATATATATATATAACATAACATAACTTACTGATCATGGAATGGAGCAAAGAATATTTGATTAATGTTTTTGCCACCATTGCACCCAAGAACATTACATAAATAGTCAGTTCGATCTCCTTCTTCTGTCGGGGTCAGCGGAGAAACAAAATTGACATTGCAAAAACCATACAGCCCTGATATACTCTCCTTCTGACACTCTTCGCTCAGGTACCTTGCATATCAAATGTCGAAATATAAATTATCCAAGTATGTACCACATGAAGATCAACATGTGAGAAAAACTAACAAGGTCAATTATCTTATAACGTACCTCATGAAAATCGACATGTGAGATGCCCCTACCTCTCTTTGAAAACACCAATCAAATATATCTTCATAATCAAGCCGAATTACCATCTCGTTGTAGAAAACATTGAACGGGATGTTCAAAATTATGGCCCCATTCCTCTGTCTCAATCCTATAGCTTCTTTCTTAAAAGCTTCCAATAAACCAGAGGTTACCATGGCACGATCTTTATTAGTGATGTTGTATGGCTTTTTAGATGAAGCTTGTTTGGATGGCAATCTCGATATAGGGGTATTCTCCTTGTCTTTGAGTTGATTATTAACCTTAGAGAATTTTGTACACCACAGTTAATAAATAAATTAGATGTAAACTATAAATAAAATTAAAGAAAAAACAAATTAGATGAGAACTGAAAAACTATTTTTTCAGTGGCATTTTGGCACCTGTGGAAACCCTGAATTTGCACGATAATGTATTAATTCTACTTAGTATGTTGTCTGCTTTTGTGAAGGGTTGTAAAGAGTGGGGCTAATAAACTATTATACGTATCAGATTTAGGAAGAAGATTTAATTCTTAATGCAAAAAGGAATATACATATATACAAAAAAGTGTACCTTTTTCTTTGAGAAAATTAAATGAGTCGGCCAGGGAACAAAACTATCCTTTGCTTGACAGACAAAGGTGAAAAGCTCAGTAGGACATGGAAGTAATGCTTTTGGCACCAGGTCATCAATTACAGAGACTCGATGAGTACCAGGGGCCAAATCAAAAAAGTGATTCTTTACCACTAATGTCGACCCTGATATGTAAACTTGCCCAATTGCAACAATCTGGATTTCTTTGTCATCTTCAGTTGCTAAGCAACAGTCATGCATACCCTAAGTCATTTACATAATAATTAATCAATTAGTATGTATATTAATTAACTACCTCTAAAAAATGGCCAAATAATTGGTAACTTATTTCAAGGAAATACAAGTATGCATCACAACACAGGTTAGATCAATATATCTTACTAGTTTGAATAAAATAAAATGTTTATAGAAGTTGCTATTTTTTCATACCTCTGGAAGGTTGCTAATAGGTTGAGTGTCATATGTATCGGGCCAAGGAACACTACAATTTCCATGTTGTGGTGAGTTAGCATTAGTAGTATCGGGCCAAGAAACTTGGTAAGGCTCAAGCTCATGTTCTTGTTCTTCATTATGATGAGGCCGAGTGTATTCCGTTTCTTGAAACTCTTGAGGCCGAGTGTATAGATTTCCTTGAGAAAATATAGCACTTTGGCCACCTTGATTAACACCTCCATGTAGAAGCTTAGTAAAAAAAATCCTGTATCTGGTCCAAATTCGGATGAACTAGTAACTTGGGTAGCATTTTCTTGCTGAGCACAAGTACTATTAGGTTGGCCAGAGCCATTGCCTTGACCAGTGGGAACACTAGACTGGCTACTAACACCGCTGGCCATCAATTGCTTAAACTCCTCTATGTTTTGGCCCGACAACAAGTAAGACATTATGACATTATTTTGGTTTTTCAGCATTGCCACCTCTGACCTGACACAATTAAGTTCATTGTGCAATTGGCTACGTGGTGTTGGTTTTGCAAAACCAAAGTACTGCTTCTTTGTTATACCTGATCCAACGCCCCTTACATGACCTCCACGCTCCGCCTTTTTCAGTGCTCGGGCCAAAATATCATCACGTCGGTTCTCGAAAACAATTTCTCCTCTCTCTGCTTGACCTTTTAATGCATTCTGTTAGAAATGATAAGAAATCATATCATGTTGGAAGTATAATAACTTCACAGATTAATATAAACATAGTACTTACGGAAATACTTACAATTGCATCAGCTGTCTTTTGATCAATTGGATTCTTAAAAGTATACTTTCCATCTTTGAAAAGTGAATGAGCTCGCAACCAAGTCTCGTGTCGAGGCACATGGTCAATATGGATCCCTTTTTTCAAGAATTATTTTGCCTAGAATTACATGAAATAAAAGAAATTATATACAAGTATTAGTTAACATGAATATACATTATTGGAAAAAGTATGCATCAGTTTAACTTGTACATGGAGAATTATAACGAAACTTACTATCTCATCTCGATAGTATTGGTAACCAAGTCGGCCTCCACGATAGCTTGAATTTTTAAGCTTTGACCTTGCTCGACTACATTCGCTCACCACCTTTGAATAACATTATTCAAAAATTAGAAGTATTTATTCAAAAAAATGTACTTTGACATATTCCACTTTCACATCTTCACACTTTTAATCCAAACTTGTATCTACTTTAACAATAATAACATTGCAATAATCATGAACTATAAATCTTATATATTGTTAATTTTTGCTAAACGAGTAGACTTCTGGCCTCTTAGCCAATGTAGCAGCAAACAAAGAAGCCAAGGCAACAAATCCAGTATCAAGTAAAGTTCAGCTAGAATTTCTGGATGACAACAAAGTTAGCAAGACCAGCCTGCTCTATTGTCTGCTCAAAATCAGTTAGTTGCTTGGGGGAAATCCCATCATCTGCAGCGTATAAACTCCTGTTCTAGCTGGCCTTAATGCATCAATGAAGGCATGGATATCTTTTAAAGTGTGATGATAATTGAAATGTGAGACCATAAGAGTCCCATCAGCTAACCTAAGCTGGATAGAGGTTGATGGTAGTTTATCATCCACGACTAGGCCCATCACAGGGGGTGGAGCAGAGCTGTGAGCGTTACAGTAGCAGAAGAGTCAGAAGGGGTCGGGCAGAATGGAAGTTTTTGTTTTTGTGGTTCAGGGCAGTTCTCATTCCTCCTCAAGTATCAAAATCCCTATAAAGTACAGTAGACAACCCTTATCAAGTATAGTAGACTAGCAGAGTACAAAAAATGTTTATACTTCCCAAAAAATTTCACCACTATTTCTTAATAACAAATCACTAGTTGCTAACCAGAATTTTCTTAGATAATCTCCATCTAAAATATAAGCTAAACTCAAACTAAGTAGTATAAACATCATAATAAATTCATACCTTGAACTTATCATCAATACTCATTGTAAAAAATTTGTCCCAAATATCTTTAGTGATCCAAGGATATTTCCAATCTGGTGGCTTTTCTCTTAACCTTCCAGTTTTTTTATGGTATAGCCAATCTCTTCTCAACCGGGTTTTAAAAGCTCTCCACCTGTCATCTGCCTGCTGTAAAATATACTCCTTACGCTCTTCTAAGACTACAAAACCTTTCTGCTCAATTAATTTTGAATACTCTTAGTAACACAATAAAAAAAACAATAGTACGTATATAGTTGTTACTAAGTACTAAGTGGATCTTACCTTTATTTTGTCATACAAATCATCTAACAGAGCTCTTGGAACTTTTTCCACGTTTCATAAGTGATGCATACTCGTTCCCGAACAATTACACCAATATAGCCAGAAAAGGTTAGTCTATGTTCCCCGCATGGCAACTTAGTTATAGGATCCCACTCTAAAGGGATCTTGGTCCCGTTTTGAATTGCCTTTCCAACAGCAGCAAGTACTGTACGACCCCTTTCATATTCACGACTAAGTCGTTCAACATCAGAATTATCTTCATCCTCATTACCTTCAGGTTGGTGTACCTGCTTTTTATTTCTTGCCATTAGCCTAGAAGATGCAAAGAGTTGATGAGTTACAAGATTAAAACTAATAAAGATAAATATTACATACATGTCACAACTTAAATGAGATTTCACTAAAATTCATTAAACATAACACTATAAGGGAGCATAGAAACATATATTATTTTAAGGGTGTAGTTTTGTAAAATCATGCACTTCACCTTATTTCTTTTTCCGACGACGCTTTCAAGATACACCCTCATCATTACTATCAACCCACATGCCTTCACTATGGTCATCACGCACGTATGTTAATGAATCCTCCCCATGATCATCAATGAAATCATCAACTTGAATCACATTTGTGGAAAAATCTTCCTCCAACTCAATGTCATCATCGTAAGCGTCATTAATTTCATGCCGGGATCTTGGTTTTATAACAGCATATCTTTTCTTATTAGCCGGATCAGTCATGTAAAAAACTTGTTTCGCTTGGCTAACTAAGATAAAGGATCTTCCTCAAAACCAAGCTTATCAAAATTAACCAAAGTAAACCCTATATCTTCATATTCAACTCCACTGTTGTTATTAACCCATTTGCATCTAAATATTGGTATTGTAAAGCCATTGTAGTGCATTTCAATGATTTGTTCAATTATACCATAATACCACATTTTACCATAGGAAGGACTATTGTCTTTAGCACTG